TTATTAGCCAGGGTGGCGTGGTAGCGCAGTGGGTAGCACTGTCTCCTCACAGCAAGAAGGTTGCTTCTTCGAGTCTCGGCTGGGTCAGTTGGCGTTTCTGTGTAAAGTTTGCATGTTCGCGTGGGTTTCCTCCAGGTGCTCTGGTTTCTCCCACAGTATATTAATTTACATTTTTCGAAACTGTTTCAGTTTCAGAATGCCATTGGTGCAGAAAGGCCATCTATTTAGTTCAGCTATCAGGATGTGATTGCTCCTGTCCAAAATGGTGAGAGCAATTTTGAAATGGATGCAAGTCTATGCATCCATTTGAAAATGTCTCAGAGAATGAAGATACAAGTGATTTTGATGTGTACCAAGGGAGCGTAGATGGAATATCACAAGCCAAGTCTGAACTTGGGCTGTCAGGTGATGTTGTGATGAAGCTCACCTTCACACTTCAACATGGTCAAAACTACAAGATCTAGGAAAACAACTACTTCACCTGTCACTTGTACTTTTTAGATAAAAAGAACTTTCTAAGGGACTATCACTGCAAGTAAACACATTCAAACCACACTGACTGTGACCCATTTTTTTTCTAAATATTTTTATTAATAAATGCTTATTCATAAAAAATATGATTGTTGTGTGATTGTTACTTATGATATACTGCTATGGGGATAAGTAAGTGAATAACCCTGCAAATGGATGCTTACTAGATGCTCTGTATACCTGTTCATACAAAGTGATTACAAATACAGAAATTTTGCTTACAACTAGGCCCAATGTTGCAATATTACAACATTTTCCTAAAAATGTACTAAAATGTAAAAAAAGAAAAAACTTGAAAAATTGAAAAATCTTTAATTGCTTCATCAGAGGCCCTCCTAAAACAATATCTAAGAGGTTAAAAAGTTTTGCTCTTACATGGTTAAGCAATTACATATATGTATATGTATATATATATATATATATATATATATATATATATATATATATATATATATATATATATATATATATATATTACTGCTTTTAGACAACATAATGTGTTTTTGAGGCTTTTTTAGTCGAGAATGTAGTTCTTTAGATTGCAACTATGCAGTTTATTTACAAGTAAAGTGCCTATTTTAAAATAATTACAATTTCTGAAAGAGCTCGTCTGCGGCCATTAGCCTGCCATAGAGTAGACCAAAGGCGGTTGAGGTTTTCTATCCACAAGATGGCGAAAGAACCACAAAAAAAGCCCTTACGCTTAGAAGATTATAACAGTCTGATTTCTAACTACAGCTGATCAAATTATTATTAAACTGGTAAGCATACCTGCCAAGATTCCTGTTTTTCCTGGGAGTATCCCGTATTTCAGACCAATCTTCCGAAACCATTAGTTTTTTTTATTTCTTTCGGAAAACTCCCTTAATTTCACCCCCCCCCCCCCCCCCATTTTTGGTACAGTCCGTAAATTCCCCCTGGTTGCCAACTTCGGTACAGTACCTGATGGCAGCAGCTGCTCAAACCCCACTGCATTCTATCCTGGTTCTTAACAGTGCTATTCAGAGACCTCACCCTCAAACACCCCCTCCCCCCGGTCTCCCGAATTTTCAGAGACATGTTGGCAGGTATGCTGGTAAGTGATATTCTATGTCGATCTCTCTCTTTTGTATGTTGTAGTGAAGCAAAGTTTGCATGCGTTTAGCGTTTTTCCTTATCGCAAACACAACAGCAGTTGTTAGTGATTGTGTTGCTTTTTTCGGGGTTAATTATTGTGATCCCGATTGCAACAGAGAATTACTGTAGATTGTAACACTGTAAGAAGATATCTCTGTAGATCAGTGGTTCCCAACCTGGGGTCCGCGCCCCCCTAAGGGTTCATAAGGAGTGCTCCGCTATTATATAGGGCTTTACAATTAATCGAAAATCCGATTTCGATTTCAATCGATTATAAAAAAGCATTAATCTAGATAAACGATTATTGCATCATATATCGCCCCCTTTCCAGTTGTACTCGACCGCGTGCATATGTGTGTGTGCAGCACGCACAAGCAGTCAGAAGCATGCGGCCGGTCAGCATTCGCTCTCATTCGCACACTGAGACGAGCAGAGGAGCGCAGACATCTAAAGTCATCTTAACGTGAGTGCTTTAATGGTCAAATAGCTGTCAAAACGCGGTGTTTAGTGATTATTTATATTAACCCTCATTTGTGTAATAAACAAACGAGTTGAGGATCAAAAGACGTGAAAGAGAAACCATTAAAGAGACAGCGAGAAATATTCCTGCTGCCGCCTGTTTTTATGATTAATCAAACAAGGAGAAAATCCCTCACTAGTCTTGACTGAAGGACTGCTGTAGCTAAAGTGTTTTTCTTACAGTGAAGATGCTTAAAGCACAGTTTGTTTAATATTTTTATTCTACTGTATTTATTTCTCTGATAATACTGATAATCGTTTTGAATAATTGTGATTACAATTATGACCAAAATAATTGTGATTATGATTTTTCCCAAAATCAAGCAGCCCTACTATTATATATGTATTTTTAAATACCAAAAAAAAAGAATAATCAAAACACATGCTTAAAATTCCAACATAATAGTAAAAATAATTAAAATTAATAACTTTAAATAATTATTTAAATTTTGCTTAAAAAATGTGCTTGTCCAACGTGTCGTAAAGGCAAAATCAAAACAAATATGGCAGAGAAACGTAAATGCAGTGATTCTTCAGAGGCGAAGAAAAAGATAGAAAAAGACAGTATGACAAAGCCTATACCTAAATGTTGGTTTTATTGAAGGCCAAGACAAGTTAAAACTGATTAATTTATATTTTCTATACATATTATATATTAATATTACACAAACACACACATACACTATATATATATATATATATATATATATATATATATATATATATATATATATATATATATATATATATATATATATATATATATATATATATCCAATGTTTGTATATGTTCATGGGGGAGGCCCCAAAGAAAAATGCTGTAGATCGATGGCATATACAGCCATATCACACTGCTGATATACTGTGTTATATTGCTCATACATATATATATATATATATATATATATATATATATATATATATATATATATATATATATATATATATATATATATACACACACACACACACACACACACACACATACACATACATACTGTATATACACACACACACACACGCACACACACACACACACACACACTCACACACTCACACACTCAACAACTGGACTGATTTAAGTCATACGGCGATGAGCTCCATATAAGCACCCGGTGAACACAGAAGTGCTTCAGTGTCTAAAGAGCACATTCTGTTCTTCACTTCAAACTGCACAACTGCCGAGAGTCACTGAAATGCTCTCTCTTATTCTTCCACTTCAACTTTAAGTGTTGCTTTAGACTCTCGAAGCGAGGTTTCTGCAACCACTGAGGTAAAATCCAGGATTCGTCCTCATTCTGAAGCTACCCAGCAGCTCTCGTCATGAGATCATGGCCTATTCTCCTGTTCACATGCAGATTCAGAAACCATGGTCTTTGGTGATTAAATTAATGCAAATCAGTGGCCACTGGCACGTTGAGATAATAATAATAATAATAATAATAATAATAATAATAATGAAAACATACAGGCAAAACAATATGAATGTGCGTGGCTTTTAATGATAAACTGTGGACTTCTGAAGCAGAAAGATCAGTCTGTGCGAGAAACAAAGTATTATTTATAACATTATTACCCTTAATTTAAAGCCTCTGTAAACAATCAAAACAACAATCTGGAATGCAAGCTTGGTTTACAGTTCTTTAGTGTAAAAATAGCACACCTTTATGTTGAAATTTGTCAAAAACCTTTTAAAGTACACTGCTTTGATACCAATCTGGTTTTCTGGAAGAAAGCAAGTCCAGTTATACATGGATGTGGGCAGAAAAGCTCCATCAGCATTTGATAGAGCACTTTCCTCAAGCTCGGGTTAATTCCTCACTCGCTTCCAGAATTAGTCTTTTCAGCACATTCTTCAGCACATTCGCTGCTCCTCCAGTCCCACTCGCACAAAGCCTAATTAACTTCATAAAGTTTGAATTTCAGAGCTGGAAATGAATGAGAGATCATGTGATGGCGCAGCAGCCGAATGAAAGGCTATGAGGAGGCTTAATCACATTCGCATTATCTGGAGCTTTGTGCAAGATCATATTTGATTCCTAGATATGCAAACTTATGATGAATTCGGTGCTTGAAAGGAACCAGCATTACAGGGAAACCATAATGGACCAAACTAATACAATGTGATACTGTCATTATGATGGCGAGTTCCTATTTATTGAAAGAGAACTATTTGGGGGAATCTTGCAAACGCTGTCGGATCACATCTCAGAAAAAAAAACAAAACAAATACATTATGCTGCCTGCCTTTGACTCTCCACCTGTTCAGGACCATGACTCTGGCTTGCATGTATACATATGTTTGTTCTTGTTTTGATCGTTGTTTGCCTTACCTTTCTTGAATAAGCATTGCATTAAGATTCTCAACTCATTGTCAGCGTCCCTTCACATTCCAGTATAATAGTACTTTTCTTGATATATGTTATTCTTGTTATTCCAAAAAAATCAATCTAATTAGAGCCAGGGTTATTACAGTCAAATAAAACAAAACATAAACCACTAAATATTTAAAATGCTACTTGCTAAAATGCTTTAGGATAGAAATGATTTGTAAAAAATATATATTTAAATTGTTTTAAAATGAATTATTTTTATTTATTTTTCATTATTATTATTATTATGTTACTATTTTAACTTTTTGTGAGTCATCAATAAAATCTTTTCCCATTCTGTTATTATCTGCAAATATTTAACCTGCTTTTATCTCTATGAATTCTGAAAACCCTTTTCAATTGTTTTTCATGGCATTTTGTGGAGCCTATGCCTACCACATTTGCACAAAAGACATCATGCGAGGCACTGTGCCAAGACCACAATCCTTCTTTTTTTTTCACCTCACAAATGCATTTCTGAGCATAAAAGTGCCCAACGGTTGCCCTCTCAGTCTCTCTAATCTAAGTGTGATGGCACTGGCCCTGAACTGCCCTAAATTGCTCCAGTCATTTCCACCTGGGGATCCCAAGCAGGACAGTCTCCCAAACAACATCATCTGTCCCAACAGAACTAAATAAATAAATAAATAAATAAATAAAAATAAAACGTGGCCATAAATCTCTCTCTTTATCTCTACAGCAGTGAGTGACAGAGGTGTAATAGAAGAACACAGCTGCTACATGTTAGCGGCGTATCTGTGACGGCCTCTAATGTCGTCATTAGCCCTGTACTTCATCTGCGCATCTAATGAGCCACTTAGCGAGGGGAAGAAACGCGATGGGAAGAACAGAGACAGCAAGAAAAGTGAGGTCAATGAACTCGCAGACGAAGTGAGCAATGATGTGACATCAAACACGAGACGACATACGGCCTCATTAGAGACTCCTCATAAACCGCCGCACACTTTCAGGTGCTTCATTGGCAAGTCAACCTTGATCGTGTTAAAGGGGTCATGACATCTGAAATCAAAGTTGCTTAGATCTTGTGATATATAAAGGTCTTTGTTTTATTAAAACATCCTGCAAGTTTCACGTCCTCATTATAAACCTCCTCGTTACAAACAAAACATTTATTTAACCAAGCTATAGAATGATGTGGTTGGCCAGTGAGGGGGTGTAGAACATAGACCTACAAAGCATGGATTTCACCCATTGGCAATTAGAATGAATTAGAGCAGTATATAAAAACTACAGCTATTGATAAAAGCCATAGACAAGCATTGTTTTTTATTCTCTACATACACTTGAGTCTGTTGACAAACTGGACGAAATAAAGTGCAAGAGAAGTTTCGCTTTGATGCGTCCACTTTTAACAGCTCGTTTGTGTCTTTGTACTGACTTCGGGAGGATTTCAGTGTTAAAAATAAGTGGACGGTTTATTTTTAAAGGTTTCACTGATAATTTTGGAGGGTTACATGCTTTTTTTCAGAGCATTTGACTGCAGATTGTTTTGTAATCGAGGCGCAGTGTAGTGGTGAGACAAACAGTCAGCTGGACTGGATCTGACAGCAGCTGTGTTAAATATGTAAGTTATTATTTTCATAATGCTTTGTCTGTGAGATGTGTTTTTATATGGATGTTGCAGTCAAAACGCTTACTGCAATACAACACTTTGCAATAGAAAGAGGAATTGATGCTGTTTTCTATGCAATGTTAGCCAATCAGAAAGTTGTGATCAATGTCAGTTTTGCTCCAAGAAGATATATGGTCCGTTTATACATCACATCTTATGAAAACTTCAGTTCCTTAATTTCAAATGTGGGAAGCTCATAAACAACAATAAAGGACAAAAGCAGATCCTGCTCTTATATGTGGATTTTTGTCACAAGACGACGACCAGCTTAGTTTAAGCTTGAGGTCTATTTAGGACGCCATGTGCGGCTGTGTGTTTAAAAATGGTGTTTGCTGTGTTGTTGTTCCTTTATCTTGCTGCATGCACTGGTGGTGATTCTCTGTAAACCAATAGCATTAAGCAGAGAGTTTAGTTCCACTCCTTTGCTACTGCACTGTTGTGCTGTCACGGTTGCAGGTTTGTGCGCTCTCCCGGAGTGTCTGTTTGATCATGTGGGTTTGTTTTATTTTTGTTGTCCATGTGTATTTGTTTGGATCACGTGTTATGACGGCACTCAGCTAGCTTGATTAGTTCTCCAGCTGAGGCTCATATTCGTGCCTATATATGGGCGACGTTTTCTGTGTGTCCTTGTCAGTTCGTTACGTGTACTTATGTGTGCTATCTGTCTGTGCTCAGGACCGTGAGGAGTTTCTACTGGACCCTGTTTCCTGCCTGATACCTGTCCTGTTTCTCCTAGCCCTAGCACCGCACTCTTTCTTTGTGTTTGTTTTGACTGTTTCAATAAATAATTTTTGTTCACTCGCACTTGGATCTATCAGAACATTTCTTTGACTGTGACATGTTCTAGGTACCATTAAAAAAGGGAGCCAAAAAAGTGTAATGGTACGGTGCCAAAGTGGTAGTTTCAAATTGGATTTTTGCTTAACTTTAACCTTTTATTGAAGTTTAATCTCCCACCAGTGAGTACATTAAACTGCCAGCTGTGATCTCAGAGATTTGCATACTGAGTTGTGATTGGTCTACATCACAATTTTAATTCATGCTGTTTAGTTTTCAAATTAAAATAATTTAAATATCCTTTTTTAAACATGCAGCAGGTTCCTCCCCAATGATCTTGGGGAGAAATCTTACGTTTTTCTCAATATTACAAAATTTTACTACACACTTTTATAACTGAATCTTGCTTTGATCTTCGGAAAGGTTTTAATTCAAGATTTGGGCATGGTTTTAAGACATTGTAACATTATGCATTATTAATTTGTGACTGGAAAATTCTTTTTTTTTTTTTTTTTTTAAAGGTGCCATATGGTGTCTACTTTTGCCATAGCACCCAAACAAAATCTCACTTTTGTTACACCAAATTCAAATTTGGAAGATAACATTAGCAACGATTTGCCCTAAAAAACTGTTGATGGAAACGCCAATATGAGCATAAATTACTGGGTTGTGGCTTATTTGCTGCGCAAAACATATGCCGGAATAGTTGGCAGTTCATTTCGCTCTGACGACTCTTGATAAAATAAAGGACTAAGCCAAGGGAAAATGAATGAATGGTGCTTTATTGGTACATAGCAAATCCTCTAGTGTTAGAATTTGTTAAATAAACACTGTCAGTGTGAGGCAGTGTGTAAAGTGTTAATTAATGATTAACACTTTTGCTGTTAACAAGCAGAATCACTAAAGAGAAACACAAAACTGAGTGAGAAAAAAATATGTATAATTTTGGGTGAACCACTTTAAAATGCCCTAAAATCAGGCCTTTTCACCAAGGATGAGGGTTAATTTTTGTTTCCGTATACATATTTGTTTTGAGTGTGAAAATTTGGTATATTATTTTAAGTGAATCTCAATGAACATATTAAAAGAATCACAAAAAACCTTTGAAAAATGCTGACGCTTGAGCTACTTTTGTGAGAGTTTGTTAGGCGTCTCAATGTCAGTCTGAATGCTATCATGAAGTTTCAGACATCTCGAGCCACAGCTGAAATCTGCTGGCTGCAAAATGCCTGTTTATTATCGGGGTGCGACTGCAGTGTGCCAATTCTGACTTGATTTGATCATTTGCCAAGTGTGCAATCGAAAAAAGTGAAGAAAGAGAGAAAAATCAGCCAACAGGTTCTAATATTCATAAATATTTTGACAGTGCTCGCGAGGCGCTCTCATCCGTTATTTTCCTGCTTTCTTTAACTTGCTGCAAAGAGCTCTTCAAATTGAATTTTGTAGATAACTTCAGCCTTAGATGTGCTTTCATTTTTATGTATTTTTCATAAACTTTAATCTTTTATTAAAGTTTAATCTCCTACTGGCGAATAAATTAAAGGTGCTGTATGTAAGTTGACTCTTCTAAAGCATAAAAATACCATAAAATACCATAATATGTTTGCAGAGTTAAGAATCATGCTAAGTGAGCATACCTGTTTATCTGAAAAACAATGCTAAAGTGAGTTATTCTGCTTTGAAAATGTGAGTTACATGTCAGAACGGCAGTCTTTGTTTTTTATTTATTATATTATATTTCAGCACCCCCAGTTGCCTTCATGGAAAACAGCGTATTTGATTCATTCAGTCAGAAAGACTCTCAAAGCATGTGCCCGCAACCAAAAATGCAACCTCCAGTGGCCAGTAGCAGCCTCCAAAATTAGACGCTAATTCAGAGTTCCACATAAGTTGTTATTAATAAGCAAATTATAATGTCATTACAAATGTAAACATTAAGTGAGCAGGATACATTGTAACCTCATGTCCTAACAACACTCTACGTGAGGAGATTTGCAGTGATAAGCAATTTGGCTGTTTGCACCAGACGAAACACGACAGAATAGTGCACTCACTGCACTCCAACAAAATGGCAAGGTTTATAATTTAATTAATATTCAATATATATTAAACTACTTTAACATTATTATATGCACATGCTGAATGACTTTGCCAATTTCTTGGCTTGCGGTGAGTCCAAGTTCTGAAGTTTGTTTTATTTAAAGATCTGAGGTGAACTATCTGCTGCTGCTTTCAGTATATGGCAACAAATGTTATGTAAAATGCCATTCAAACTCAAATTTTTAGCATTTAACACTGAATAAAGCACATAAAAGGGATATAAAATATATAAGGGTTTCTAAAATATAAATTTCAGGTGTTGTTAGGACAAAAAGTCTTCTATATTTATATAGAATATCGTATGTTGTTGCTTTTAGTTGGAAAAAAATCTAATCAGCTTTAAATCAGCCTTTAGGCTCAATAGTCAGGCACATTTACATCAATCTGGCAACCTGCACTTGCATGAACACCTCAGAGAAGGAGTCCAGCGAAAATATATTTTGATCCAGGAGTGCAATACCTAGTTTAACCACTGGGTGTCAAACTTACATAATGCACAGCTAAGCTGTCAGCAATGATGTCAGAGATTTACATAGCGAATTGTGATTGGTGTACATCACAGATTTAATTTATGCAGTTTATTTTTCAGATTCAATTATTTACAATTAAACAGTCTAACATACACAATCTACCCCACTATTCATGGTTCAGTTTATTAAATTTCAAAATAAATTCAATTTAATTCAATTCATCTTTGCTTTTACAATGTAGACTGTGTTAAAGCAGCTTCACATAGAAGATTATAGTCAATTGAAACAGTGTCAGTTCAGTTTTCAGAGTATTACATTTACATAAAACAGTAAATGACCGGTCATTTATGACTTATTATCTGTGAGTGATTTGCTTGTTTTGTTGTTTTTGGAGTGTCAGAATAGCACATTTTTGCTTACAACTAAACAGAGGCAAATTTGTCAAGTTATAAATGATCTGTGGTGTTTATTTTACATATTATACAGTAAAAACAACAACAACAACAACAACAACAACATTAAATACTGTATAAACCTGTTACTACCATACAATACTGAAACTTATTACTGTAAACAAGATTATGTATTTTTACTGCATTATTTTTATTTTACCATTACAATTACGGTCATTTTCCAC